CCCTGCCTTTTTGAACCCAGGATGCAGCTGCATTAAAAGTTAAGTATGTATACATGCAGGCTGGTCTGAACCCCACAAAGCATTGAATGGCAGTAGAAAACCACACAAAAAATTAAGGTCACCTAACTACAAGTACCAATATTCCATAACATTAAGCATGGCAGTTAAAGTAGGTTCAAACTGCATTGATTCTGCAGTGCAAATGTATCTCTTGTGTATCTCAGTAGATATCTTATTCAGACAAATTTCTCAAATGTTGCAGTTTGGAATTTAATCATATAAAGAATATCTCATATTGTGTATTCCAAGGCAATTGTGAAATACATCCATAGAGTTGATTTCTCCAGCAGATTAGCCAATTCTTTGATTAGTTCCAAAACTGCTGGTGATCAATACATTTTTGAATACATATATTGGATTTTTAGATTCAATCAATTACCTTTTGATGCCACCAAATATGCAAGACAAGAAAAAAGAGAGGGGAGCAATTAATGGTTATGACAAAGTTGGCATGTTATCATGGAATGAACTTTTATCATCAGGGTGTTCTAGAACTTTAGTGTGTTTCAAATCTAGTAATTTCTTATGACCAACAATGAAACTTGAATCATTTGTGTGTAATCTATATTTAGTCTCATTAGTGGAAATCAGAGTTTGAGAGATATCACTTTTTGACTTGAGAATTGTGATGATGCACAATGGGGCACCACACAAGATGTCCCCATGGCAGAGAAGTCTCTATGACACCACGCAAGATGTCCCCATTGTCCATCAGGATTGTTTCATAACAGAAAATGTTGTACATTGGGACAGATTGTGAATTGGGAGTTTTTTACAGCTGTCACATTGCCAGCTCCCCTTTCACAATGCTTCCGATGGTGCAGTTATGACTCCACTCCACCCTCGAGAATACAAACATTGAGCAAAGGTGCAATTCAACTTTATGTGGTTGTATGTCTATGGCAGAATTTCCCAAAAGGCTGTCAGTCCAAATCTAATATAGGGGGGGAATTAGCTTTGAAATTATTGCAGACACAGTTTCATGAAATCTCTGTGGGCAGAGAAAGGCTAACATCAAAATACATTAAAAAGAGATACTGATTCAGTGACATTCTGTTACTGTCCTGGGAAATCTCAGTCAGTGAATATGACTGAATATGGGATACTAAGAGAAACCAAAAAAAATGAGGATAACATATTGAAATAGGACTACAGCCAGCTGGTCAGATGCTTGCACTAAGTGACAAAAATGAAGAATGTAAATTCAGAAATACAGTTCATCCTTCATTTCTATTTATTGGAATTATACCTCAACCTTTCTCTCAAAATGGGATTCATCTGCCAATTTCACTACCTGTGGCTTGAATATATATATATATATATATATATATATATATATATATATATATCTCCAAATCAATCCTTGATTTGGCTATTTTATATATGACACAATTTACTACATGATTATATATCATGTGATTTGCGCATCCAAGGATTTGGCTATCCATGGAAGGACTATAAATCCAGAACCCTTCTTAGTCCAACTAGCTTGGATATGTCTGGGATCAATACTAGTAAAACAAACACCCCTTTCCACAGTCTGAAATACGTATAAACTAGCCCATGACATGGAAATTAGCTCATGAGGAAGTAGCTGCCATGATTTTTTTCCAAGGTGCATTCAGCAAGAATGTTTTGTGTTTGAACTTAGATCATCTTTGTAGAAGTGAGTCAACCTACTCCAGAAATATGCCCAAGGGAAGATAGCAGAGAAGCTAGCTGATGGAAAGAAAAGCACAGGATTAGAGATTGAGCAGTGCTATCGCCTTTGCACACATGAAAGTACTTTTCATAGTAACACTGGGAACTGACTTATGCAAACTTGACTGTGTTTCTAACCAAATATTGCTTCATTGGACTGGCAATGACCATACTATATGTCCAGTAGATATCTTATCCATAATCTGTTATCTCATCATCTTTTCCATTGGAAATGCCAGAAACCGATATTTTATTACCAGGCATGAAATCCCTGAGAGATGCACGAACTGTGAGGGAATGACTGCAGATAGTTTGATGTCTTTTGTGTATCTCTCTCTGTGTGAGAAAAAGACAGGGAAGAGTGCTCTGTGCAAGAGAAGTGGGGAGATGTATGAAACACAGGAAGTGTCAGAGAAAGAGGCGGGGAAAGAAGAAGAGGGTGAGAGTGTTTGTTCATCCCTGTGTGCCAGGGAAAAGATTAGAGTCTGCTTCTACAAGCACAATTTCCATTTAAATTACCAAGGCCGGTATATAGCTATCTATTCAAAAATAATTCTCAGAGATGCAAGAGTGTATGAGATTGTAGTCTAAATCAATCTGTTGAAAATATATAATTTTCTTCATGACACTAGTGCTTTTTTCCTCAACAATATGTATTTTTAGCTAATTTCATTCCAAAACATTTTTATTGAAATTTAGCCCTCAGGTGTCTGAAAAAATATTTCCACTCTGAAAAATATTCAAATGGTACTCAGATTGAAATAAGAATGAATTATTTTGCAGGCGTGGGTTTAGCTTTAGAAGGAATCCCATCCTCAGGTCTATGCAGGAACCCAAAAGTCTGATATGGCTAATTTCCTGTTCTGTTCTGTCCCTTCTATTGAAATGGGGAATTAACGGGCCAGGAAGTTGTAACAGTGAACAAAAATTGCCAGAGAGTTGAAATATTTTAAAAACCAAATTTTCTCTGTCGACTGCTTCTGCAGTCATCTGGGTATTTTTTTAAATTGTTTTATTGTGTATATAAGAAATAGAGCAGAACATCAGAAAAGAAAAAAAGAAAGGGGAAAGAAGAACAAAAGAAAAAATGTACAGAAGAGTAAAGGTTTACAAAACTATATACCGCAAACACACATCAAACATGTGAAAAATTGATATTAGATGTATAGCAATTGTACATTAACATATCTGTATCCCTCTAACCCTGCACCCATGAACCTAACCACCATGACCTCTGACACCCGTCAATGTGGGTAAGGTACTTTATAGTAATTTGTGTTAACAATTATGCAAGATTATATGAAGCCCTGCCCTTATAGATATTCCATTTGCCTTTAGCTTTGATCCATCAGAATTATCATTTGGAACATACTGAAGGTTTGTATCTCTGTGCTCATTCTATTCAAGAAATACTTAGATTTTTTACTTTAATAAACCAATACTAATTGCTGTGCATTTTGATTTAAAGAATTAATGCAGTAAGAAGGTGGTCCAATTGTTGTCCATGAGGCCACAAATGTTGTGGGCCAGCCCTTTAAAGTGTGCATAGCCACTCACTACCATCTTGGTGAATGACACTGTTGGAGAAGGAGTGAAGTCAAATGGGAAGGAGGAAAAAGATACACTAACCTATATCCAATGAGTCTAGTGGCTTACAGTGAGGGAGAGGTAAATTGAGAGGAATTCTACATTTGGGATGGTAATGTTACAAAAACAGCAATAATAAATATGTTAGTTTAAACCTACTTGTGTGTGAGTTGAATATCCAAATGGCCTCTATTTTTAGTAACAACCTTTGAAAACCTCCCAGGAATAGACATTTATTTGCTACTGTTATAACAAAAAACTGGAATGAATGTTTGTGTTGATTATAACCTGCCCACAATGTTCTTTTAATGAAGTGTCCAAGACACTGTTCTTTTTTCTACTTTGGTATTCAACAATTCTAGTCCTTAAATATCTACTAATGTAATTTGCATAAAGTAAGTTACAAGCACAACCAAGTATATCAGTAACATTATTAGTGATATAGTTAGAAAAGGTAGATTTAACAAATTTTTAGCTATTGTACCTTTTCTTGTTCACACACAGAATTGGGGAATTTGCTATGTGATTTCCAGTGTTATGTTGTTATATAATGTGTAATGTCCTGACATATATGTGGCTCTAACAGGTGAAATGCAGTGATATTAGAAAATACAAGGAACTATATTCATATTTGGGGATGTGGAATAAGTAGATCTTTCCAGTAAAAGCCTCATCTGGAAGCAAAGTCTAAGAAAGGGGAGGGAAGAAAGGAGGAAGGGAGGTGAAGAGATGGGCAGTTTTGAAATCTATAATGTCAAACGTTTTTCTTCTTCCTCTTAGCAAGGAGCAATGTAGGTTAGTAGGCATTTACTGAGGCAGCCTATCAGAGTGACACTTGACATGTAAATTGTGCAGCAAATCTGTCAGTTAAAATATTAATGCATCCACCTGGTTCTGTCTTATATAGTTTCCCTGGAATGAGTTCAGAGAAACCATCTTCTGTATCCGTTCAAATCCATCTCATTTTTCAGGTTGATATGATCCAATTCTAATCTGTGGAATTATTCGGTGCTTTATTCTGTTAAGGGATAATTATTTCACTTAGTGCTTTTAAAAAAATCCAATACTTGTCTCATAAAATATCACATTTCTCTCCTTAACAATGAATGTGCTTTATGAAGTGTTGGAGTTAAAGAAGAACTCATTCATATTGTATGTTTTAAACTAAAAAGTTAACAACATTGTTGCATGTGGAGAATAGTATTGTGGATTGACTTCTCCACAGCAAACACCTGAGAAGCACAACAGTTGAGTAATCTGTCTGAATTAATTCAAAAGGAAGTTTAATGCCACTTGAAAATAAATTCTGATTAATTATAATAGGGAAGTGAAGAGGAATATAGATTTTAAGAGCTATGTTAAATGAATGACAGTCACAATTAGAAGGCAAGATGGCTGTAGTTTTCAAAGCTCTTCAAAGTCCTATTTACAGCTAAGGATCTTCCTTACCTAACAATTTGGCAAAATATTTCCATCTGTAAAAAAAAAAATCCATGTTGAACTGCTCTCTTTTAACAAGATGGCTGTCATATTCAAACATGTTCCAAGTATTGCAAGCTCCAGATAAGTTTTATTTATTTTATTTATTGTATTTGGAGTGAACCAAACAGTGGTATTGTATTAAAACAGACACACACAAAGTTTGCAGACTTGTCAATCTATTAAATGTCCTTTGACCAGTAGCTGGCCACTTGGAGTGCCCCTGGTCTTGCTATAAGAATATCCTCCATTGTGCATGTGGCAGGGCTCAGGTTGCATTGTGATATGTGGTCTGTGGTTTGCTCTTTTCCACACTCTCATGTCATGGACTCCACTTGGTAGCCCCATTTCTTAAGGTTGGCTCTGCATCTCATGGTGCCAGAGCACAGTCTGTTCAGCATCTTCCAAGTCCCCCAGTTTTCTGTGTGCCCAGGAGGGAGCCTCTCATTTGGTATCAGCCATTGATTGAGGTTCTGGATTTTGGCTTGCCAATTTTGGACTCCCGCTTGCTGAGGTGTTCCAGTGAGTGTCTCTGTAGATCTTAGAAATCTATTTCTTGATTTAAGTTGTTGGCATGCTGTTTGATCTCCAGATAAGTGAGACTACTTACATATATGGTTGCGGTAACCTTGTCTAGTACATTTGCGTTAGACATTCAAGCCATCTCTTGCATTTATTTAGCTCCAGAACAAGACCTGTGGCTTGATATTACTCCTCATCAACCAGTTCCATCAGACATACCCTCATCCCACAATCATCAGAATATCTGTGTTTTTAACTTTTGTTTTTTATTTGAGTCCAGCTCACCTCACCACACCCTATATTTAATCCTCCAGTTGCCAAAGTGGTGTCTCACATCCTGGTTATCCTCCAAAGACTTGTTTCTTCACTTGTCAATGTTACAAAAGTTGGAGCAAGATAGGTGTGCCATGGTTTCCATTTACAGTAACCCTTCCTAAAACAAAAGCACATTAAGCAGCTTTGTATCCATTTTAAAGTGTTTGGCAGCTTGCAAAATTGGGCTCTAAGGGAACTGCATGATGACTCACAGAAAGACATTATTGGATTTTCACATGTCCTAGAAAAGGTTGGTGACTGAATTCTGTTTATACTAGCAGGAGTTCTTTGTAATAGGCAGGTTTAATGTTCCCTAGGAAGAATGGGGAAAAAACATTATTCTTAAATGCACACTGTAAATAGCAAATTGTAGGATATGAGGAGGTACAAAACTCGAGGTATTACCATTATACTGACTAGAAATTACTTCAGTCTTCCTTAAAACTAGTATTTGTATTTACACTCAGATTGGAGGAAGCAATAACTACCACCTTTGATACACAAAATATATTTTCTGCATTTTTTTCTTCAGAATACCACTTTATACGCCCACATAAGATTCATTCTACCATTTAGATATACAAAGATTATTACTCTCTGGTGTTATGATAAGACCAAATTATATATTATGTAAGACAGCTGTTTTTATTATCTTAGTAATTCTGTTTCTTCCAGTTTCAAATATTAATTTGATCTAAAATAAATTGATTTTCCTTATTAAGCATAATAAACCACCACACATCTGACATAATGCACTCTGATGATTGAGAATGATTTCGTACAATTGACAGGAATTCCTTGGCAAAGAAGACATGGCTTATAACCCCATTTCTATAAATATTCTTCAATTGGTAGAGTCTCTTATTGGATAACCAGCATAATGTCAGGAATCCTCAGTGTTATAAACAACAAATAATAACAATACCGTCATTAGTATTCAGCAATCCCAGCATTTCACTCACAGAGGAAGACGCTTGCATTCAACCAGCAAAAGACGAACACCTCACAATTGCTGTCAGTGTACCATTCTATGGGCCATTTATTCTATCCAGCTGTTGTGGTCCCAGAGCACTTCTCACTGACTCTAAAAAGTAGAAATCCAGATAAACATCACAACTTGTTCAAGTTAAGTCCATTCAGCATTGTTAGAACTAAAACAACGCAGCCTACAAGCTGGTTAATCTGGAACACCTGGATTCCAGCCAATTTAATTACACATCTTAAATGTTTCACAGACATGGCTGTTAGTAACTATTTTTTTCAAAAGGGAGAAAAATAAGTGTATATAACAATAAACAAAACATACCCAAAATGAAACTGGCAGGAAAGCTTTGATCACAACTGGCATTCTTGCTGCATAGGACTCCATGTTCACTTCCTGTCTTGGAGAAAGAACAAAGAGAGAAATAGGTCAGGTGATCGGAGGCCAGTAATGTATGTCCTACTTTCTAATAATAAGAAATAAGATCTCTGGGCTTGCCATTCCTGCATCATTTTATCCTTACAACAACTCTGTAAGCTCAATCAGGCTTTGAACTTTAATTAGAAGTACCACAAGGCAAGCATCCTAGATTACCCATTCTTACTCCAAGACCTGGTAAATAGTGGATTTTATATCAATAGAATGGTAAATCTACTATGGATTTTAATTATCTTTAAAGTAACTATTTAACTATTCAGTAACTTGAATAGTTTTGGCTAAATCCTAGAGTGGAAGCCATTGACAACATGATTCCAACTCCTCATGTAATGCCTTTGTTTCACATTTGAGCTTTGGTTCTTTCCAGAAAACAGCATTTTCCTGCCCTCAACTAGCAATTCAAGGTTTTTTTTTACATCAGTCACTGACAGAAATAAGATCTATAACTAATTAATAGTACTGGGTATTTAATATTTCCTTTGAATGTTGTTGTTGTTGTTGTTCATTCGTTCAGTCGTCTCCGACTCTTTGTGACCTCATGGACCAGCCCACGCCAGAGCTCCCTGTCGGCCGTTACCATCCCCAGCTCCCTCAAGGTCAGTCCAGTCACTTCAAGGATGCCATCCATCCATCTTGCCCTTGGTCGGCCCCTCTTCCTTTTGCCTTCCACTTTCCCCAGCATAATTGTCTTCTCTAGGCTTTCCTGTCTCCTCATGATGTGGCCAAAGTACTTCAACTTTGTCTCTAGTATCTTTCCCTCCAGTGAGCAGTCGGGCTTTATTTCCTGGAGGATGGTGCATGTATGCATTTCACTTTATCTTATGCCTTTCCTAAAAATCCCAGACTAAACAATAATATTAAAACTTTAAAATACAATATATCTGATGAAACCAATCACAATCAAGAAACAGAATCAAGTACATGTGAAATTCAGTTACATTTGCTAATCCTAAATGCTCACATAAACAAATAGTCCTTATATTGACATCAAATTGCCAATATAAATATACGCCTTGAAGAAGAGCATTCCAAAAGTGGGTATCACTATAGAAAAGATCGGGCCTTTCATGATATCTGATGTATTTCCTCTACTAGTGGGATGGAAAGAAGGGCTTCTCTCCTATATGTAAGGAAGTTGGTACAGAGAGAGACTGCTTTCCTGAGCTTTCTTCTTATAAAGCCAAATCTAGGTTATTCAGACATGTAATATTTCTGCACAGTTTTAGTGTATAATGTGCTGCAGTGTGCCTCACTGTATCTTGCTTTATCTTTTTCTAAACTGGAGAGCAATTTATTCAGAAAAAAGACATAAAAGTATACTGCTTCTCACTGCTCTTTCTCAACTTTATTGGAAGTGATTGCACGTGAAAATTGTGTCCTTCAGCTTGACTTTTGCTTGAACCCAAAATCCTATATTTGTGATCAAATGTTAGATTGACATGACTATGTTGTACTGATTTGTCAGTTCTGCTAGCTTTGTAGATCTGATAAAAAGGTGTATCTTTTTTTAAAAAAAAGGATTTACCTTCCAACAGAAAGATGAAGGACTCTATGTCCTTCTGTCACTGTTGCATCCCTGCTGGCATAACTCTAACTCTTACTCTTGGCTTCTTTAAAATATAAGCATTGTATTGACAGGGGAAAGGTGACATTAGTCAGGCTGCTATAGTGGCAATAAAGCAGAGTAACAGTCTGCTACCCTAATCTTCTCAGGCTATCTGATGTGAGGGACCAGTGTTTTCTCCCAGTGTGCCTGGAACTGGAACCATATTTGTGCTTGCAAACTAAAGTTGTTTGTCCCTCAGTTCTTGTGGGTTTTTTCGGGCTATATGGCCATGTTCTAGAGGCATTTTTCCTGACGTTTCGCCTGCATCTATGGCAAGCATCCTCAGAGGTAAAGTTGTTTGGTTCTGTACTGGAAAATTTCCAGTAAACAGAAGCCAACGTCTCCGAGACCAACACCATTCCAAGAACCACCATATTGAGTGCTTTATGCTCTGTATGATATCATGAAACTAAGGACTACCAGGAGGGGGAAAGTTGTTATCTCCAGGCCACCTGGTTTCTTCAATAACTAGAGAGGCATCCAGATACCTCGCAAAATGCGCAAGTCCTGCATTTTTACCTGGGGCATCCAAAAAATGCCTCAGGTAAAAATGAATTCCTTCAGCACAAAGCAGAAAAACCCTGCTTTGTGTTGAAGTAATCTGACAGCTGGAAAGATCTGGGTTTTTCTAGCTGTGAGCACTGTGTGGATTGGGCCTGGGAACGGTGTTGCATGATGTCCGGTTCCAATCCACACAGGTGTCTCAGAACTTTTGTGTTGCTAGGGGCCCGAAAAACCCATGACCCCCACCCCCTCCCCAAACCACCCAGAAAGCATTAAAAAGAAAAATACATGTACTTGGCTGGCATGTCCCTGCTGCTGGCCCCCTCCTGGCACATAGAAATGACATGCCAGGAGAACGTGGGAAGAGGAAAATCACACACACACCCCCTTCTCTTGGCATGTCATTTCTAAGTGCCAGGAGAAGCTGGCAGCAAGGAAATGCTGGCTGGGTAAGTTATTTTAACTTTTTCAGGCTTTTCTGAGGAGGGGGTTCTTTTGTGTCTGGGTGCCCTGCCAGGAGCAAGGCATCTGGATACCCCCCCCCAAAAAAAACCCTTAATCTTTCTGGGGGGGGTGTGTGGCCTGTAATACAGGCCCAACTGGGCATGCAGTAAAGTCCTGTCTGGAACTGTCCTGGCTTTCATGTCAGTTTACTGTATCTTTCTGCTTTTCTTTAACTTTAATGGAAGCAATTGCATGTGAAACTTTTGTCCACAGAGCTGAGGCAATACAAGAGAATTGAATTTGGATCATCAGCTACACCACTGGACATGTAAATGTCCAACCAGTCCCCTCCCATATTGCCTTGATTCCATGGCGTCTCATAAAAGGTACTTGAGAAACAAAAGACATGAAGCTCTTGCTGCCATTACTGCCACCCTTTGATGCCTTACCTTGTCACTGTGTTTTTATCCCTGTAATCAATGTCAACTCGGCTGATATAGTTATATCACCCAGAGAGCGTATAGGATTCTGGCTATACACTTTAGATGGGAATATGGAGTCTATTTGGTAAAAACCAAATGATCAATATTATTATTTTTGCTATTGTGTGTGTGGTTATATATGTTCAGACAATCTAGATAGATTGATGATTGAAAGATAGAGAAGCTAAAGACCATCACAAGATATCACAGACGTTTGGTTATCTGCCTACCTATCTCCATCTGTCTGGGATGAAGGCTTGATTTGTGCTCTATCTACATTAAAAACATAGTGAACCAAATAGGATGAGACCAATAAATGGGATTACAAAAATCTCTTGATTTTATATTCATTGGCCCATTCCTTCATTCATTCATTTGTAAGTGTCTCGATCCCATCTGCCTTCCTAACTCACCCTTTTTTTTCAAGCCACAGAACTTCCTCCTTTCATCATTCAGGAAAACTTCTAAAGATTTCTCTGTGCATTTTTTTTATAATGCATGCTTTTTTGTTAAGTCACAAGACTTCTTTCATTTATCTTGCAGGAAAACTTCTAAAGTTTCCCTGCCTTTTTCATAATACATTTATTTTGTATACATTTTTCTAACATAAAATTGTAACACATTTCCCCATTGACTAAAGCATGTTTCAGCTACTTGCATACATCAACTTATTCATCTACCTATTAATATCTTAAAATGTGAACCTGACTTTGTGCTTGTTTTATTTCTCACAAGTCTCACAAGATTTGCAAATGTATGAATTTCCACTGCTGTGTGCACTGTATTGCACTGAGCAAATACAAAGTTTTGGAGCAGATGCTTTGGTACTGTAGCTCTAAGCAGCAAAAGCAATGGTGTTGAATGCTGGAAGTTGCAATCCAACAGAATGTGAAGGGTTGCATGATTTCCACCACTTGTTTATATGTTTACTAAAAGGAACAGAATACTGATAAAACCAAAGAAAAGTGTAATCTTTCCTTTGGGAGTTATTCATATATCTATTTTTATAAATGTCTAGGTGAAAATGGCATCCTTGATGTGACTGGCTTGACCTTGAAGGAGGTCGAGATAATGACGGCCGACAGGTAGCTCTTGCGTGGGCTGGTCCATGAGATCACAAACAGTCAGAAACAACTGAATGAATGATCAACAACAACTAGGTGAAAAAATATCATGGCACTGGGAGGTGGGGACTCCAGAAAATTCAATGGCCAGTGTGCCTCTTGTGGAAGAACATTCCAGAATAGAGGTAGTAGAGGCAATAGAAGAGGCGGGACTAATATATACTTCCCCACTTTGCCCCACACATATCTGTAGTCTGGAATGGTGAAAGGTATGGAGGGCAACTCATTACCCCACTTCGACAAACTGAAGATGGAGAGAAGACATTGAGAAGCAGGGAGAAATGGGATATGGGAAGGCTGCCATCCCTGAAGATGAAAAGACACAGGACCTCGATGATAGGGAACAAAAGAAGATTATTCTCTCTGTTTTCCCCACTTTCATGTAATGTAATCCTAAAACTTTGATGTACTTGAATCCTTGCAGGAATTATCAATCAGAAATGTTCAATATGATCATTAATTTGCCATTGATTTCATGGTATTCAGGTTGTTTCAGCTGGGTGACGATGAACATGTTTGTTTTAATGTTTTCTGCTTTCATGTTTTGTAAAAGTGTGTATAGCTATAGCTATAGACTTCAGAACATAGTTTCTGGTGCTTTTTGACTCTGATGTTTAAGTGAAGGAATATGTTTTTAATGTACATATGTGTACTACTTGGAGCTAGTAGAAATTGTAACAGATATATTCCAACCTCAGTCACCGGCAAAGCAGTTTAAAGTATCTTTCTTTTTTACCAGTTAGGTGTGAGAACAGAGAAGTGGAAGACTAATGTTGCACTACTACCAGCATTACA